GCCCGCGCCTCCTCTCTCTGGCCCCCGGACCCGGAGCGCGGCCTCCGTGGAACAGCCGGGGGAGGAGCCGGGGTGCGCAGGCTGCGTCCGGAAGGGACCCAAGTCGGCGAGTGGCGAACAAACCGGGCGGAAATTCGTTCTTCCCACACTCTGCCCCCAGGGATGCAGGCGGGGAAAGAGGAGACGGCGGAGGAAGGACAGACCCCGGCAGGGGGAGGGGGAGACGCTCAGTGGCTCCGCGTCTGGTCAGCCCGAGCCCGGGACGCCAAGTGAGAAAAGTAGGGATTAAAAACAGCTGTACCGGGCGGACACAACGGGCTGGGGGCGGGGGGTGGATTACCGGTCGAGCAAACGGGATTTGCAGACAGAGACCATTTTATTTTAGACAAGGACACCAGTCGCTTCTGAGCAGTGGGAGCGCGGCTTGTTTTACTTGTTTTTAAGTCACTTGCTCTTCCAGGTGTCGCCCTGCGGCAGGCAGCCCGCCAGCATTCTGCAGGAGTTTTGGGGAGCAGGAGGTTGTCTGCAAAGCGCTGTCGGCAGGCCACTGTCAGAAGAGGCTAGGGTGCACCCACTCTGACCTGCAGCGTGTTTGGGTTTGGGGCATCGCGCTCCAGGAAGCGGGGGAGAGGCACCGCCCCCGTTAGGGATCTGAACTAAAGGTCCTGCTGTGGGCAAGAGCCTGGAGACATCTCAGAGCTGGTTCTACCACCATGAAAGGGTCTCTGTCAGATTTTGGCGATTTAGTCCCATTAAGTTCCCTCCCTAGGGGAGGCTTTGCACGTGTGCATATATACTACTATTATAACCTTCCCAGGCAGGAATAACCACATTTATACCTTCCCAGGCCCTTGGGTAACGAACTAGCAGCTACCTTGGGGGTGCCTCCTCTGCTGATGCCTGGGCCTGCAGTGATCACGTCCTAGCTCTCAGGCCTGGCTTAGTTGGGGAAGCCTCATCATTTATTATCAGTAGAGAAGGGAGGTTTATCAAAGGCTCCTTTGAGGCAGCCCCTGCTGAGAATAAGAATGGGCAAGGAAGAGCTGTTAATTACTATTTACTCATGCAAATTATCCGGCTAAAAATAAAGGCCCAGCCTCCCCTCCACCCCAAAGTGTTCAGAGAATGTGATTTTAAGGACATGCTGTTGACAGTTAAAGAGACAGATCTCCCCCTCAAGAGGCTGACAATCTAGTGGGAAGGGCAAGGCATGGAAAGGCTCGATGATAATACAAAGCAATCTATGAGAAAGCTGCTGGGATGCAGATAAGTTTTAATAATCCCAGTGTTTGACAATTATTAATTACCTCATTTACCAATTCATAGGTAAGTGAGAGCGACAAGTTCAGAATTTAAGCAAAGATGACATAGATCACTGACAGCGTGGTCAGGGACCTGGGCTCCAGGGTGTTGGGTGTTGCAGAACTGAAGGTAGGCAGTGAAATGCCCCTTCAAGGCACAACGAATGAGCACACCAAGTTTGCTTGGAATTTGCTTTGAGTTCAGCTAGAGGATGAACTTGGAGGACCAAATATCTGTCATTAAGATGAAAGATGGCCCTGACTGGCTTGGTTCAGTGGATAGATAGTCGGCCTGCAGACTGAAAGGTCCCAGGTTCGATACCAGTCAAGGGCATGTACCTTGGTTGCAGGCAAATCCCCAGTAGGAGGTGTGCAGGAAGCAGCTAATTGATGTTTCTCTCTCATCGATGTTTCTAACTCTCTATCCCTCTCCCTTCCTTTCTGTAAAAAATAAATAAACAAAAAAGATGAAAGATGAAGTTCCCCAGGTAGTTTGGTTTTTCATTTCTCATTGTGAGAATCTTCTGAAACCCATGTAGTTTTTGACTCCCATCCTCTTTATGAAGGTACTAGAGGCCTGGTGCATGAAATTTGTGCACTGGAAGGGGGGTCCCCCAGCCTGGCCTGTGCCCTCTCACAGTGTGGGAACCCCGTGATCGATGGCCCCAAAGAGGTAGACCCCATCCACCCATCTGGGGCTCCTCGATAGATTGCCCCAAAGAGGTAGACCGGAGCAGCGGGACTCGCCTCCACGCCCTGCACACAACATCAAACCCCCCTCTCCCCCAACCCATGCACACAGCCTCCTGGTGATCACTCATTAAGGCCTGAGGGCATCATGGCCACGTAGGCTTTTATTAACAGGATGGCTGCCGCAGAGGGTGAGACCCAAGCTCACACAGTGTGACCCAAGCTGTCATGACCTGGGCCTCGGAAGCTGGTGGGAGGACCTTCTTGCTCGCAACAGAGGTTACCCCAGTGTTTCAGAGGAAAGATACGAAGAAGCTGCTGGTTTTCAAAGTGAGTCCTGGGAACTTCCTGGGATGGAACTGTGCAGCATCTGCTTTGAGGCCACGGCCTCAGGGCACACAAAGAGCATTCTGAGCAGGAAAGGGGTTGGAAGCTGAGAGAGGTGTAACATGGAAGAGGGAGAAGCAGAAATGAGACCCTACCCCTTTGCATAAGCCTCTTCTCCTGACTCTTCACAGAAAACTTGTGGAGAGAGTGAGGGCAGCAGGCAGCGTTCCCTCTGAGGGCCACCATCACTCACCCCCCACCCCCCGGGGATGTCTTTTCTTTCTAGATGCTTCGAAGTAAGATTTAAGAAGTATCAGACCCCTGCAGACATTGAGTATCTTTTAATGTTGCGGCTGTCTTTGCTAATATTCTACCAGCAGTCCTCGGTTGCAGGCAGAAGTGACCTACAGATTCATGTCAAGACAATTACTTTTCCATAACATTCCATTTCCTTGAAGTAATCCATCTGCTGCATAGATGCAGTGTGCCGCCTTTCCAATAAGTACAGACAGTTTCTGATAGGTGTTCCTAGCACCCTCAACCCAATTTCAGTAAGACTAAGATTTTGAGATCTATAGGTAAAATGATAACGTGTGTGTGCATATGAAGTTTTTCTGAAAAAGTGTGACTGCTGTCTTTTTAACAAACGCTTCCCTTTTACAGGCATAGAACCTGAGGTCACCTTTACAAATGAATGACATTTAAACACCTCAGAGTACATGCATATGATATTCACATGTGCCCCCAATGGCCTCCACGTCTGTCACGCTACACAGTCAGGTGTTTGATTTATTTTCATCTCCCTCTTCCAGGAGTTAAAGTGGTATTTTGCTTGAACCTGGAAGTAGTTAGAATCCCTGGTAGTGAAGAGCAGCAACTCCAAACTGCGTTGGCTTGGAATCCTTATTGCTGCTGGTGAGCAGGCAAGAGGCCCATAGTGGGGATTTGGCCTGTGCCAAGTCCTGGGATGAGCCGTGGGAAGCCTGTGGTTGATAGACACAGTGCCAGACCTCAGGGCGCGCCCGCTCAGTAGGGAGGCTGACGCCCAAGAAGCAGTCGCAGGTGGTCAGGCTGTGGGTGGAGCTGTGGGAGCCTTGGGGACATGAACTTGGCCTGAGCGCTGGAGGAAGGCTTCGGGGACAGGAAGTACTGAGCGTTACCAGGTGCAGGTGAGCGGGGCTCTCAGGAGGGAGAGCCGGGACATATGCAAGAGAGTGATTTAGGAACCGCCAAACTTCTGTCTGAATCTTTGTTGGTGAGATTTGTTCTTGACATCTGTGCTTTTTGACAGCATCACACAACCTTTGCTCATACAATTACTTCCAAATAAATATTCCCTGGTCCCCTTTGAAGATTTCAGCAAGCAGTTGGCATACTAGTACTTGTACCATAACCTCAAGCGGCATCTCTGCCTACATAAGCTAGGTGCTAGACAAAGAAAATGTTCTCTGTCTAGTTCTTGCCGTCCAGAACCTTGAGACCTGTGACAGTGGTTTGGTGGGACATGTATTCATGCTGTAAAATGTGCTATATGTATTTTGTAGAGATACTGTATATATACTAGTCTACAGCACCACTCTTAGAATAGGGCAGCCTGCGTCCCTATCCTGAACCCTGTGCTGCCCAGGCCGTGTTATGGTACTCCCTGGTTGTGCTCCTCCCCAAAAGACCGGGATTTGGGGCTTCCCAAGGGATGTGCTAACCAAAGCCCACACCCCACTCTTGCTCAGGGTTCCTGGTGAAACCAAAATGTGGGGACCCTGCAATTCCCAACTCAACTGCCTAAGTCTGCGTGGCCCTTTTTCCCATCTGTTCTCCTGGGGGCCAGTCATGTCATGGGTGGATTTACCCCTGGGGCCAAGAGACGGCCAAAGGGCAGCTGTGAAAAAAGGATCTGAAGGTGTGAGCTGGGATTTCCACTGGTAACGCTGGAGTCAGGGCTGAGAGGGGGCATCTCAGGCCAGGGGTCTTCTTTCACCCCAGGCTGCTCGAGTATTGGAGACAGCCCTGCCCATACATAGCATTTTAGGAGGAGAAAGTTAATGGACTTGTATTTAGAAAGAACAGGGGAAAATTACAGGAGTCCAAGGGAAAACATTTTTGAAAATGTTTAATTCCACTTTATTATAACATAGCCTATACCTAATTTTCTATAAAAAGCAACACTTTTTTGTAAAAGCAAGGACGCAGTTGT